TGGAGCTAATGGGAGTGCCACACCGATGGAGACAAATGCTGAGTTTCGGCCACATGAAGGAACTGAGGATGGTGATACACCTTCACTTGACTATCGCGCAATTATCGGATCACTGATGTATCTAGCTACAAGTACGCGTCCCGATATTGCTTTCTCAGTCGGTTACCTGAGTCGTTTTGTCGGTAATCCAACCAAGAAGCATTGCGGAGCCGTGAAACGCATTTTGCGATACTTAGTGGCGACTACTAATAAGGGGATCCTGTATTCGACAAGTTACGACGTTGAAGACAAGATCGTGGTCAGTGGGCACAGCGACGCAGACTGGGCCAACGACCCAGAAACTCGCACAAGCGTCACAGGATACGTAATCACTATTGCTGGGGGCACAGTGGCGTGGACAGTCCGACGGCAGACCGTCACCGCGCTATCGACCGCAGAGGCCGAGTACGTTGCAGCCTGTGAGGCCACAATGGAGGGCCGCGGTATTATCAACATGCTGGGTGAAGTTCTTGCTGTAATCGAAATGCAGAGCAGATTCAAGCTAGGTGTTGACAACAACGCTGCGATAGCGTTGGCTAAGGCGCCTACGTACAACAGCAGAACGCGGCACATCGAGCTTCGATGGCACTATGTGATCAAGTCAAGCGTGACCTCATGGACATCTATAAGTTCGACGGTAAGAGGAATCCCGCCGACATGTTTACCAAGGCGCTGCCGAAGGACAGCCTCACCAGATATTGCCAACGGATTGGCATGACGGACACATTACCTACGGCAAACAACTGAGTATACCGACGCAGGCGTCGGTAGGGGCGTGTTATGATTTGACTATGATCGCGCCCGTTACGTTGAAGTGCCGTAGCATAGGTGGCCAGAGCAAAGATGCGAATGCGTCTCAGATGAGGGACAAGGGCCACGGACATTGAAGTCAGGAAACCGGATCCTATTGGTTGGCGCCGTTGATTTCTCCTTACATTTAAGTCTCAGTCTCGAACTAGTGGATAAGAGGAGCAAGCGACGTTAGGAGATAGCGAGCTGAGTGGATAAATAGGAATAGCAGTTTGTGTTTACATTACTTGCTTCCTAGCTTTAAGATCTACTCGAGCTACGCTACGGACCTGAACGTGTAACATAGATACCGGACGCGATGATTGTGGTCTTCATGTCAGTGTACTTGTGGTATCTGGGTGACAAAGAGAGTGGTTGTGCTGGGTCTGCAGCCCGGAATTTTACCGCTGGACTCCACAACGAACAAATGAGATTTGATTGGCTAAAACCATGGTAAAAAAACTTTGTTTAAAAAAACGCATTTGTTCGCAGCGACAGCAAAGAGCAGACAAGACGTCCAAGCCGACGATCTAATGAGCATCACAGTAGCGAAGAACACGGTTGCATCGAAGAGAAGCTCACGATGACAACATCAGGTAGGAGCACAGGAAGAAAGGGTCGGAGGGAAGACTAACAAGATGGCTTCAGTTACGATGAAGACACTGAAGACGACGGAGTTTGTGGTGAAGTCCGCGGAAGCGGTCATTTTATCGGCGAGTTCAAGTCCCACGTCGGTGATGACACGGCCGACTTACAGTATTCCTCTCGCCGCAACTGTGCCCATGATACGCGTTGCTGTAAGTCACGATATGGTGTCTTTTTCAACTTGCTGCGTTTAACTCTAGACATCACACTGCTCACATTTACAATGGTGTGAAGAAACAACGTTCGGTAATTGGAAAATAATAAGAGCCGTAACGTTTTCCAAGATATGATGCACTTTTGTTCGCAGCCGAATCACTCACATCAGGTAGAGCTTTACGAGCTTCACATGTAGATCTCCACTTTTTTATTTGGTTTTATATTCTCTCATGGCAACTATTTTGCTGTATTACAGTATCCGTTCGCCACAAGCAGGATACTATCTTCTTATTTTTTTTAAGGCGAGCCAAATACCGAGTGCAGTTGTGAGTATGATACTAGTTTTCCTGACTTCGGCTGTGCTGTGGTCCGGTACTTACCATCGCTTTTCATTCGTAATCGGTTCCTATGAAGTTGTTTCTTGAAACTCCACAAGCCTCCAGTGGAGAAGAACCAAGAACATATTCTCCGGGCCCTATGGCTTCACCTACTAGTTCTACATCTTTTTTGGAGTCAGAAGGGTTAACCGTTTTGACTCCTTAAAAGTAAATTTAGGTTATGAATTTCTACATATTATATATGCCACTTTTTATCCATTCAAGTTGTGTCTGTTCGTATTTCTAATAACTGATGATGTAAATTTATCGTAAAAAGTATTTTTAGAGGCTTCAAAAATATTCGTTCCTCATTTTTTTTATTATTGTTTTTAGTCAATCAAATCTCATTTGTTCGTTGTGGAGTCCAGCGGTAAATATCCCTGCAGCCCATCCACCAGAACCTGACGCTCCACATTGTACTCTCGAACCAGATTGAAAAGTTCTTCTCAATCCATTCTCTCACGCGGGTAGCTCCTCGATAGAGGCAAGATCTCCTCCCCTTGGAATAATATTGGCCTTGGCGAATCTGTTGATTATTGTTGAAGCGGATATGGAATTTCATGCTGCCTTGGTCCACGCGATTAGCACAAAACGAGAAGGAGCTGTCAGCTTGAAGCGTTTCCCGGCTCAAATGCCCTGAGCTGGTGTAGCATCAGCTGTCCCCAACTTGTACTTCACGGGCTTGTTCCAAGCTATGTCAGTTTTTCTGACAAGTGAATGTGTAACCGGGAGTTACGTTGATTAGCTCCACATTGAGAAGCATGGCGAAAATCTGAACGTCCACGGTCGTCCTCTATCTGCCTTGACTTTGGCCCGGAGATCGTGGCATCTCTGTCGGATTTTGCTATCATGCCTCTGATTTGATGCATTATGAAGTAGCATTTACAAGATCCCAATGAGGAGCTATTGAAAATAAACAATAAGGTAGGCTAAAACCAAGTGTCATCTAAGAGAAAGCTCTACTCTATGAAAACTCAATTCGATATCCTGATGGTTTATTTATTTCCTCCAATGACCCTGTTATAGGTCACCGCCACGACGCCTTCATTCTGAAAGAGAGTGGCTTACTTCAAAGACTACCTCGTGTTCTGCACGGTGTAAATGAGGCCCCGTACTGCATCTACAGCGTTCCGTTCTATCCACCCAAGCCCACCTTGCACATCGGGTACAAAGGTGCCAATGTGATGGAGTGGTTGTCACAAAATCGCGTTGCGATCCACTCGGACACACAGTGCCCCTGGCTGCCGACTAACGGAAGGGGTATTCCGATAACCGTGGGGTTGCTGAGGACT